TTGGGGTGTCAGCCGGTTGGAGGAGCATGCTTGTAAGGTGCAGCTGCCCTGCTGCGTTGGTTTGGCCGTGACTTTGAATCATCAAAGTTCACGCACCAGCAGTCAATGAGGTCTGTCACAGGCTTCACCACTACCGCGTGCGGCCGGAACTGTTCATGCAGAATTATACTGGAATACAAGCTTTGCCTTTCATGGCGCTTTGGATTCGCAATCTTTCGCGCCTGTTAAGAACCACACCTCCCGTGGTGCGGTAGTTAATGTTGTACCTTTGACGTTTCACGTTAAGACTTGTGCTCATAGACTGTTCTGGGGGTTATCGGAGTCCAAGGTCTGCGAGATCTTCAACATCACCATCGAGGCTATTCACGAGCGGTGGGGGTACCTAGTAGAAGAGTTACAACACCAAGCGATCCTGCCGAAGATTGACGTGTTCTGCCAGGCCATCTGGGATCGCGGTGCTGCTCTTGACAGGTGCTGGGGCTTTATCGACGGTACAATACGCGCCATAGCTCGTCCGTGGCGCATGCAAAGACTGTGGTACAACGGTTGGAAGCGGAAGCACGCCTTGAAATACCAGGCTGTAGACACACCGGACGGTATGATTCGGCAATTGTGGGGTCCCATGCTTGGTCGTCGCCATGACGTGGCGATGTTAGGGGAGAGTGGACTCGTGCAGACACTGCAGCAGTGGTTCAACGACGCTAATGGCCTTCCGTACTACATATACGGGGATCCCGCGTACCAGCTATCCCCATGGCTGATGGCCCCCTACAAGGGCGTGTTGACGGAAGCCCAGGAAATGTTCAACACTTCAATGAGCTCGTGCCGCGTAACCGTAGAGTGGGGGTTCGGGAAGATCGTCGCCTTGTGGCCCTACGTAGACTACGCGAAGAAGCAGCAGGTCGGCCTCAGTGCATGCGGCCTTGGCAAGCAATACGCAGTAGCAGGGCTTCTGACCAACTGTCACTCGTGCTTTTACGGCAATTCGACGTCGAAGTACTTCGGCGTCCCCACCCCGACGCTGCGAGCCTATCTTGCGGGTGAGGGTTGAAGAAGGGCTGCGGTAGTTTCCCCCCTTTTGTCTCCAGTTCCGTGTTCCGTTTATGGTATAGTTATTCTGTGTTTTGATGCAAGCAGAACTCTCCTGGTTGCTTTTGGAGGCTTTTAAACCATGATCAAGAAGAGGAATTTTGACACTGTTAGCTCTGGCGCAGCAAGGGATGGATGGTCCAGTAGCGTAAGGCTAGGCTTATCCTCCCTTCTTTTTCGCTACGTGTCGTAGTTGGCCGTGGGCCGGGAGTGCGGGGTTGCTCTTAGTGATGGTGTCAACAAGCAGAAAACCAAGTTCCAATTTCCTAAGTATGCCGACGGCAATACGAACCACATGATTTATCTCGCAACCCATGAATACGAATCCCATTGTACTTGGAGCACGAGTGCGTGTGCCCAGTTGGGAATGGTAAGTGTGGAAAGTTCAGGTCACCAGAGGGCCTAGACTCCAGCACGCTTCCAAAACATCGTCTGTCGAGCAGACGCAGGCAGTGGCATGTTAAAACATAAGTGATCTTGACACCGGTCACCACACGGCAACCACACATCCAACCTCTGCAGACTCAGCGACAGTTGGGGGATAACACGCGACGCCCAAGCGTCGAAGGTCGTAGGTGCTTCTTCGCAGAAGAAGGGCCTGCTACCGCCGAGACATATCTCCGGAGGCCATGTGGATACATCCACCACAGGACAAACTACTGCGGCAGTAGCGCCCAGCAGAGGCTTAACCCTACTACACAGGACACCAACCCTAGACCAATGCTAAGCGAACCAAATCTACCGCAACGAAACCCTCGGCTACACACAAGACAATATGGATGAGATGCCAAAAAATCACAACGTGAGTTCATCCTCACGGTTCTACACACGTAGGTCCAACATCAGACGTGCCCTTGCGACAATTTACGTGGAAGCAAAAATCGCACATGAGACTCCGTGGACGCAAAAATGTACTTCGTACTTCAGTGTAAACCAAAAACAAATCAAAACAATTCAAGCAACACGCAGATCTTGATTGCAGAATAAAGGGTAGTTCTGCCCTTGGTATCGAGAGTAGTCGACTTTGGTAGGAACTACAAAAAAAAAGTACTCCCTAGGGTGAGCAGAAACGAGCAAAAACCTTCACACGGAGATGCGTGCCGCTTTCGCGCCTGGCGCTCACTCCCGATTGCTGTCGGAAGGCAAGGCACAATCTAAAGATAGGCACGACGAAATAATCGACCAAGCACGCATATTA